TTTAAATAAAAATAACCAACTTTTTATTTTTCTGTTTAATGAATCAGTGTTCTGTAGCGGAGGAGCAAATTGACTGAGAGAATTTCGTTAGGTCGTGCACCGTTCACTGATCTGTGCTCCGTACGCCGTAAACCCAATTACCAGAGCACTCTACCAGCGCTCGGCAGACCTGCTCATGTATACCTAGTTTGTAGGCTATTTTTTTAAACGGAAATTCTTAGTGCTCTGTTATTTCATATTCAATAAAAACATCTACGAATGTGGTCGATTTTCCATGTACATATGTACATTTATCAGACGGTGAAAGAAAACATCGTATATGTGCGAGGAAATTAATAAATATGTGTAAAGTCAACTAACCCACACTTGACCAGCGTGGTTGACCATAACCTATTCACCCCTCACTTATTGTACACTCCGAGTCCCTCAGTGGGGACTTATAGTCGATGATGTTCAATAAATTAGATAAAGGATTAATGAAATTTACCCACACAATGGAAGGTCTGTTTCTTTATGAAATATAATAAAGTAGCCTAACTTTACAAAGTTATCTGGTTTCAGCATTAAAAAGCTTTAAACTGATGAAAACATTCAGCTTAATAATTATTAAAATTATCTTCACTTGAAAAAAAAACATGTTGTAATTATTTCAGGACACAAACTGGTGGATCAGTTGGCTTTAATAATAATCAAATATAAATAATATGCTTCGTTATATTATTAAAATAAACAAGAATTGCTTTTTCTGTAGATATTCGCGGACGATTCAGAAGTAAGCTTGTTCAAGTTAAGAGGCTTAACGTTCTCGGCTCACTTGAATAGAGGCTGCACAAACCGAACGTAACATAACATTTATATTCATAAAATGAAATGCACGCCGGAAGCCTGCATTTACTTAAGCCTAGAAAGCATATAAGAAGAAATTTATGTTTATGTACTAAGAAAGTAAAGATACTAATAAGATTGCGAGTTAAATCATACTTATATTATAAATGCGAATATTTGGATGGATGGATATTTGTTACTACGTATCGCCAAAACGGCTTAAGAGATCTCTATGGAATTTGGGACGATCATAGTCTGGAAGAATACATAGGCTACTTATTAAGATTTTTTTTAATTCCGCGTGGATGGAGCAGGGAAAAGCAAGAAATAACAATGCATGTCCCACGGAATGAATACAATTAATTTTCCATTATCTAACGAATAAATATTAGTATGGAATATGTATGTGAAAATGATATAATTTGAAATTCAAATCATTACATCTCTAAACCGAACCTTAATTAACGAACCAGAAATGAGTTCACGCCATATCATTATATTACTATTTGTAATAACATAATTTGATGTAAATTATTTTACCATTAAAAAACACTCTTTGTATTTGAAAAGTGAATTTATATTTTATTTATATTATGAATGCGAAAGATTGTAAGGTTGGATGGATGTTTGTTAAAAGGTATCTCGGGAATGGCTGCATGGATCTCGCTGAAATTTGGCATAATAGAAATTGGCCTGGAAGAACACATAGGCTACTAAATAAGTTCTTTTAGTTCTGTGCGGATAGTGTGACTGGCGACATGTAGCTTTGTTATAAAATATAAAGTAATATTCAATATTAATATTAATTGGAAATAGTACTTAGGTATATGAACGTGCATCGACTGTAATATTTTACCCAATATCCTGATGCAAATCGACGTAATCTACGGAAAACGCTTGAAGCCCGAGAAAATCTTATTACCGGTATCGGATAAACGAAATGGGAGTCGAACTTTAAAAGCGAGTCCCGGAAAAATCGCTTAATGTTTATAATATTAGCTATCTCCTGACAAGAAATTCTTTATTTTATTTTTGCCTCTTGATGTTAGCTCCGAACTAAAAAGCATTTTTATCAAGTCACCCACAAAATCTTCAATGGATCTAAAATTGATTAAGATAATTAGCATTAATTTATTTTACTTGTTCTTACTGAATTATATATTTCTTTATGTTTTTAAAACCATGGTAACTTCACGTCAGGTAAATCCTTTCTAAACCATTTTTAAATACAACAGCTCTCATAAAATAAACAAACTAACTTTAGACAACTTTCCGCGCTCAACGTAAGCCGGTATCGGAATTTTCTCTAGAGGATATCACGTTTAGATATCGGCATACCGCATACCGAACGCAATTACCTTTGCTGTCGCTATAAATTCTCAGCAGCGTAAAAATACCACACTCAGCCAATCAACATTCATACATTCTTCAAGAGTGTTGTATTATACAAATAAGAGTTAATATAAAATAACAAATGAGATTTTAAATTAATGACCTACCTATGTATGTATGTTATTACTTATGACACTTGGAGAAATAATATTAATTACACTTTTTCTTCATAATCTGTCAACATAAGAGGTTATTAGGATTCACATACATTCATATACAATTTACGCCCAAGATAAACTCTGATCAGCTATGTAAAAAACAATACTGATATAGACTAAATAATCTTACTAATATAAATGCAAATCTTTGGATGTTTGTTTGAAGGTATCTCTCTGTAATTTGGCACAAATGTAGAACATTGTCTGGAAAAAACAATTGAGTTCTTTTTTAATTGCGCAATGACGGAGTCGCGGGCGACAGCTAGTATTAACATACGTATACATATTTAGTGCCAGATGCTACTTCTATAAACAACATAGCTCCTATTCACGATGATGTCAAATATCGTTATTTGGTAATACAGATCAATACATAGCAAGACGACGTAAACACAATTATCTGATCACTCCAACCTCTCTTCTCTTCGAAATAATCATAGTAGCTTTTCGCAGTGTTTCAAATGTGTGTTTGATTTTGTATTCGTCATATTTTAATAAAGATTTAAGACAAATGTATTCAGCTCATCATCGTTCACAGCTTTTTATTTAAACTTATATTTATAACTTAATTAATATGCCAAAATTGCTTTCCTCTTAATTTTCTTATCCTACAATTTAGTTCTTCTTTTCCTTAGTACTCTTTTGTTATATTAGCAGGAATAAAACTTCTTTTTCTATTTGGCTGCCTATTTATTAAGAATATTAATAAAAAGGTTATAAGTATAATTTGCAATGTTTCATCATGTTAAACACATCAACGTTCTCTTAATCACTTTGATCTCTCTTCATGACCTTTTATCGATGCGATCATTCGAATTAAAGTGTCTCGGATATTGCAGCGATCAGTCGAATGAAGCCTGTCTGAACGGATATTCATTTGGACATACGTTTCGTTCCTCTCTTTATCACTTTGTCGAAAGCCTGTCACACGGTAAATTATTGGATCGAAAAGATTCTGTAAATTTAAAAGAATGGGTTCACGTATTTTAGACCTTTGTAGACTAACTTGCCAAAGCAAATACAACATGACCCAGACATTTACGATGAACAATTTATAAATACCGGCCGGAATTAAACCATAATTCACAATCAAAGTTCATTTTTATTTTTGATTCAAATAGTTTTATGAAAACTTAAAACGGTTATCATTAGATCAATTACCTTGAAACTTAGACACAAGTTTTTGCTTTAGGAATAAACGTTGTTATTGTACAAAACACAGTATTATTGTAAGTTGAACTGAAATTATCGAAGCGTGTGTTGGCTTTTCCAATTTGCCGGCTTTCGTCCGCACTGGCATTGCAATTGATGACGGGACAGCTATGACGGATACAAATTACGTTACGACATGTCGAATACCCGGAGGGAAAACACTGCGACTTTTGCCGGGTATATTCTTGCTTTTATTAAACGTTACGAGACTAACTATGGATTTCTGAGACTAAAATGTTCGATTAACACATATTGTTATCTCTGTTTAATAACTATACGTTCTATACAGAGATTTTGGTCACAGAAACCAACGGATACTCTAACATACTAACTCAATGAAGAAATGAGCGTACAATTTATGTTTATTTAAAAAATAAAATTCAAAATTTTACCCAGGTTTTTTACGTGACAGTCAAAAAAGCGAAATCTTTCATTTAAGTAAGATATAATCTTTATAGAAATTCACATTCAATACAAAATGTCTTTTTCATCTTTTTCGAGGAAACAGTTATAAATATAGATTCTGCGGGATAAATATTCATCGCTATAAAGCCCCTCCGCCTTCGCCGTGGTTGCTTCGATATTCTGAAATGTACATTTTAAGCCAACGCTAAACTAGATTAAGGAAAATTTAAACCAAATATACTTTAAGAAACGTTCCCAGTTGTATTTCCTTTTGTGAAAATCTTTTCATTAAAATCTTAATATTTGGTGTATTTTACAAAATATTTTAATTAGTCGAATAACACAAAAGCATAGAGAGGTAAAGAATCAAAGTTGTTTTCTCTTTAAGTATTTGTTAAGGATCTTCCCAATGGGATTTCCTTTATAAAGACAACAGAAGTATAGACAATGCACAAGCTATTAATTAGTCGTCGAGAAGCAACGATCCTCATTGAATTGCAAATTGTTGAAGTTGTACAAAACAATAGCTGGTCTTCGTTAAAGCAGCAACAAAAGCAGCAGCAAGCGAGAGCCATCCAATTTACAACAAACTTCAACGGAAACAAAAAACGTAGCAACAAAAACGGTACATGTTTCGTACCCAATTATGCTGCTACGGAAAATATTACAATTTTTAAATAAATACAGTATGCTAATAATGTACCATGCTATTGTTTTCTAATTCTAATTATAACCTACAATTAATTTTCAAAGAATCATTACTTTTTTAATTCATTTACGAAGTGCGAAGTCATCTACACTAATATCATAAAGAAAAAATATTTGATTGTTTGTTTGTATGCATTCAATAAGCTCCGAAACTACTAAACCACTTTAAAAACTCTTTTACTGTTGGGAAGCTATACCATCCAATGGTGTCATAAGCTATATTTTAACTAGATTTTTTAATTCCGCGGCGATGAAGTCGCGGGCAACAACTAGTTCAGATGAAACAGGCAGTTTGTAAAGTTTTTTAGTCTTCGTAATTGGTAATTAAAAAGAATAATCCGAAAAATTAATTTTTTTTCGTGATCCTATCGGCAAGAACTCGGACCAATGAAACAACTGTTGCTACTTTCGATTACGTTAAACGTAATTCATAGTATTCGACATGGTGAAGGTAATAAACAAACTTATTTATTTTTTCCTCTTAGTTATCCTTCTTTTTTTGTAGAAAAATAAAAACTGTCGTGTTAAAATCTTCGCAAATATAGGACTGTGTAGGCGATTTGTCAGGATGCATAGAAAGGTACAATATCCTCTTTCTGTGCATCCTCTCCTCTGTCAATTAAACGTAGGCAATGCTGTAAATGACTACAAAGCGGTGAATTCGCCATTTTAGCGAACATATAAAACTATTTTGTATTTTAACTGTATAAAAATGTATGTAATTAAAATTATATTCTACGCTTGCTTCTTTCTACCAATGGTCGTATCATAAAATAAAATAAATGTTTAAAAGAATCCAGATGGTTCGAAAGGGTAATTAAGGATAGCTTCGCGCCCCAAATTGTACAACTATTCTCTTCTCATACAAATGTATGTATATTTTGTACTAATGAAAGTTTTTTGTTGAACATTGTTATTTTGAAACTTTACTTAACCTAGTATTCTATATTTTTTACCGCAAACATTTTAAAAACTTATAAATATCATAAAAATTCTATAATTTACACATTATGTTAAAACGGCTGTCTATAAAACCTCTGGAAAAATAGTCTACCAAGAAAATTTTGTTGAATTTATTATAATATCTACTTTAACTTAATATTTATAGTTGTGTTTTAAAAAGTTTGGAAAAGAGGTCTTTACCATATTAAGCAGTCACTCGTTGCGACCAGATTCGCCCGACTGAGTAAGGACAGTACTGTTTTTTTACAGATAGGTCAAGATTCACAGGCCACGTGGTGGGGGGAGTGTATGTACCCATAGTGATGTACCCGCACGTTGCTCAGGTTCACTCCCTTTACACTATCTGTGGTGGCTCAGTCATTAGCGACCGTGTCGTTATAACCGCGGCTCACTGCTTATACACGACGGATATGGAAACAAAATTGGAAGCAAAGGAACTTTATGTTTATCTTGGTATGGTAATATAATCTGTGCTAATGTTACTAATATAAAAGACTGACAGTCGCCAGCAACTTAGTCCGCGAGGAATTAAAAAACTTTTTCAATAACCTATGTGTTCTTCCAGTGTATGTTCTATATCTATGCCAAACTTCAAAGACCATTTAGCTATTCTGGAGATACCTTATGTTATTTATATATATAAAAATCAATTGCTGTTCGTTAGTCTCGCTAAAACTCGAGAACGGCTGAACGGATTTATCTTATCTTGGTCTTGAAATGTTCGTGGAGGTCTAGGGAAGGTTTAAAAGGTGAGAAAAAATCTAATATTTGCCAGTAACTAATTAAGTTTCTTTTCACTCCACACGGAATGAGACGCGGGCGACATCAAGTGTTGTATATAAGCTAGTATATATATACTAGCTGTCGCCCGCGACTCTGTCCGCGCGGGATAAAAAATAGATGTTGGCCGATTCTCAGACCTACTCAATATGCTCACTGCTGCTTTAAAAATAATGTAAGGAAATACAATATGTTGTCAGGTATTGTACTAATTCCAGGATCCGACGTATTAGATCAAGGTGTAAAATATAGCGTTTGTAAAGTTGTAACGCACGAGAGGTATCGGGGCCAAGATGAAGTAAACTTTTATTTCTATGATATTGGATTACTTTTACTATCACGTAAAATAAGATTTGGTCCTACGATCAAAAAAGTTAAGATAGCGGGAAACAGTAAATTCAGAAACACTAAATATAGTTTCACATTAGCCGGCTTCGGAGCTGTTACGGTAAGTAAAAAATTATATAGAGAAATCTTTATGAAAAGTAAGCCAAAACATTTTTTTTATCTAAGGTGGCAAACGAGCGGGCAGCCACCTGAAATCGCTGAAATAGCGAAGTGACCGTTGCCCATAAATATACACAATTGCATATGCGTTGCTTACCTTTAGTCGGCGGAGGAGAGGATACACAGAAAGAAAATATTTTCCTTTCCCATGCATCCCCTCATCCGGAAAGTCCACTTCCACTTCCCATCCTTTTCTTACAAGAAAATCTGTGGGAAGATAAAGAGGCAGGAAGGAAGGAAGAAATTAGTTGTACTTTTTAGAATATAAAAATAACTTAAATATTACTTTAATTTATAATTATTTGCAGAATGTTTCTCCAGCCACCGCCTCCATAAAGCTTAAAGCGACCCGAATGTACTACGTGAGAACAAAAACATGCAATGAAAGTCAGTCTTTTAGAGAGGTAATGACTGTACCAAAACACATGTTTTGCTTGATCGGCCAAGGTTGGACTAGCGATTGCTTCGGCGATTCAGGCTCTGGGATTATTTGGAAGAGGTATAGACATTACTAGTAACATTTCGAAACATACTTAATTAGATGTGGTCGCCTGTGAGCTTAATTAGGATCAATATCTCTTAAAAATGAGAAATCTTACCGTACGAACCGAATTCGAATTAACCGAACTTTATTACCAAGTAAGCGTGCAATGTTTTTGAATTCGCAATTAACAATTAGAATTGATTGGGTTAGGAAGAAAATCCGACACTATGTCGGTGTATCGGCTACTAGCCTTATTAAAATGTCAACATTTATGTCACTAATCAATCTGACCCTTGATAACGAAAACGCGCCATTCGCGCCAAAATATTTTAACTAATAATGTCTAAAAATAGTTGCATTGATAAAAAAAAATTACGTAATTGAATGTGTTTTATCTGTATTTTCAGGTACTTGGTAGGGTTAGTATCGACGGGGCGAGATGTCGCCTGCGGTTCAGATACACTTCCGTCAATGTACACTGACGTCGTGTATTTCAGGAAATGGGTCAAAGCGAAGACACTCGAACTAGAATCTACCCCTGTCGAACAATGTCGAAGTAAACAAGAAAGCGAAAAATTTTTAAAATCTAAGATGGAATTAACAGTAAAATTAACTTGAACGATTACGAATCTAATCTTTCGATTAAATGTACATATTTAATCGAAAGATTATTTAAAAAGTATATCTGTAATATATTTTATTAAATTACTTCATCGTGCGGAAACACAAAACTTCATTACAATTTGAATATTATTTTCTTCTTAAATTAACGTATATTAAGCAACCAAACTTGTACACAATTAATTTATAAGTAAGAATAGACTTTCGTTGAATTCAACAGAGGAAATTGATGTTAGCCTCTACATAGAAAGATTTCCGGTAAGCCTTTAGCAGTAGGTCTGCGGAACGTTTTTGCTTAATGTAGTCATTACCGAACTTAATGGCGCGCATTAGACAAGTCATTCCCGGTCTTTATGCACAGCGAGCAACCTTTGTAGAGCTTGTTATTCATTAGTCCCGCAGAAAATCCAATAATCTATGGAAAAGCTAATTTCTATTTTGTTTAAACCTACCGCTGCAGCTACATTTAACTATATTTCACACTACTGAATTTTTGACAGTATCCCTTATTTATAATACATATGGATTGTTCGCAATTTAGAAGATTACCTTCGAAGCTGTTGTATTAATTAACTTTTAATTTAAAAAAAAAAGATTTTTGACTATAAATATTGGTCGAATTTCGACCAATAAGGTCCACACTAGTGAATGGAAAATGTGTCTGGCATTCGGGTAAATATTTTCTATTTTTTAATACACAAAGTATCCATTCGCAAAAGAAAACTCGTATCAAAATACGGTTTGATATTCCGAGCCATCTGCCATTACATATGGCTGGAGCATTTCCGATATGTGCACATTGCCGCGTAATGTAATTTGTATGCGTCATGTTATCCTCAGACGTTACACCGAATACAATGATTACAATCACAAGAGGAAAGTAAATAAGGGAAATAAGTCATAATTAAAAAGAAAGTTTATTAATATAGTTTGTAACCAAAACACAGCAAAAAACTTATCTACAATACGTCTATATGTGTGATAATCATAAGCCGTTTTATATAAAAAAATATACACGTAGGTGGTAAATTTGCTGCTTGTTGATTGTAGATAAAGCTTTTTATGGACATTTTTTTTTTTTAAAAGGATCAAGTAAAAATACAAAGAAGACAAAAGGAACAAAAAGCGTGCAGTAAAAGGTGTTTTTTGCGATGTAGCCATTAAAAAAATTTAAAAGTAGCGTGCCTGTCGAGCCATCGTACTATGCTTGCTAAATATTACACAACCTTCAGGCACGGCTTTTAAATAAAACATGTCTGGTGAGGGCATTGACTTTTTTTTTCGAGCCACCACTTCTAATGTCGTTTTCTACAAAAAATGTATGATTCTAGTTAAGATCTTAACTTATCACACCCTACATCCTACTAATATTATAAATGCGAATGTTTAGATGGATGAAAGTTTGTTAGAAGGTATCTTCGGAACGGCTCAACGGATCTTGATGAAATTTGGCAAACACAGTCCGGAAAACAGATAGGGACTTGTAATTTTTTTTTAATTCCGTGCGGACGTAGTTGCTAGCTAGTTTTACATAATACCTCTTAAAAAAAACTTACGTTGTAATTACGTATAGCCTATTAACGAATTAGAGTTTACAGCTTTTACATTTTAATGAATGTTTTCTTAAACAAGTCTTTATACCAACTACTTATAAAATCAAAAAATAAAATTTCTTTAGCGACAAAATATCAACCCCCCTGTTTGAAAGGACAAAACAATATTAAATGAAACTCGTTAGTAAGTTGTACTCGAAGACTCAAAGACAGATATTTTCACAGAGATAACCAAGAAAGTTCCCCCGTGTAACATACGTGCTATCTTTACGAGTAAAACTTTGTCTTATTATTTTATTATGTATTCTTGCTATTCTTAAAGATATACAAGAAGAAATATGATTAAAAGATTAAAAAAGTGAACCCCGTGATATAAGATAATATTATATTTGGCCGTTTGCATTTTTGCCGCGTACTACTTATAAAAAGTTCTGCTACTACTTTGAAAACCTTGTAAAACAGTCTAGCAGTAAAACATATTATATATTTTGGCTGTTATCTATTACAATCATGCAGAAATAGTAATTGCTTAACTGTCGATAGCGAACTTCGATAATTCGGATATAAATTATTGGTATTTACTAATCAAATTGGCAATACATTTAAATGGGTAATTCTCTGGAGACTATGGTATGTGGACAGTTGCTTCTAATTATATTTACCGTTCGTTTTGAGAATTGATTTCGATCATTTTTTTTTAAATGATTATGTCGATATTAATATAATTATCTGTTGCCTAACAACACTATATGGTTAACGAGCAAGTGCTCGTCGTCGTTGCAAGCAATTACGACGAGAAATTATGCAGCGCCATGCCGTCACGCCACATTACCACCGTGTGCCCTGAAGCGAATACTCTACGCTGCTTACGTGTTGAGATATCGTACACGTACCATGCACAACACTACCTAAAATTTATTAGGAAGTAATCTATGACATAAGAGTTAAGAAAAAAACAAATTCTTTGCTTAATTGGCGTGCGGGATGACCATCTTTTGCAGCATTCCTGAATCAAATCGACTGGAGAGCGTTCGCGAAAATAATGTACCTGCTTGATTGTCAACAGAATTGCTTTTCTCTGGTGCAATTGATTTTAATGAGCGTCCGTAATTAAGTACATGAGATGAGGAGAATACTATTGGCCAAGTTGATGATAACCATCCTTTATGTAAACTTCAAGAATTAAAACTAACTAAACAAACTAAGAATTCACCTTAAAATTATAACATTATGTTGCTTGTGTTGTTCTTATTTCATCACGTTATAATTATTTAATTACGTGATCAAATAAAAACAGATTTGAATCACGTATAAAATTATTATCATCCTTTCTTTACCATAAAAGTGATTATATTTTATTAGTTCTTTCCATTTTTTTATTTTCTAAGGTATAATTCTAGTGGGTTCATGAACGAATATTTCATTGATAGACGTTCCTTAATTTGACACTGACTTTGACATGAAATCAAATGTCAAGGCAAAGGCCTGTAAATGTCAATGACTGTCAAAGAAATGGTAAACTTAAATTATCTAGGAATATAATATTATGTTTTAGTAATCAACTACTTCAATAATATTTTAGAAAATGTAATCATATGATTGAAAGACACTTTTAAATTACGAATTTTATTAAAATGAAGCTGTGGGCTTGGGTAAATACGCAAAGAAAGACGTTGTTTTCCTTGCTTTGAAACAATTGTTTTTTTAATAAATAAAATTACAGGGAGCAAACTCGCACGGTCAAGTGGGAGTTGGAATCATTAATGAACAAGTAGAAAAACCAACTAGGGTTGACCTACCAGAGTCTTGTAACAATATAAAACAAATATCATGTGGTGGAGGCCATACTCTTCTCCTAGACAACGAAGGTAAACTTTACTCATGTGGATGGAATTTAAATAAACAACTAGCGATTGATGACGAAAGTTTAAAAGAATCTGCATCATTTAAAAGAGTGTGGTGTCTCAGTGGTATCACATTCACAAATATAACTACAGGATGGGACTTCAGTGGTGCAGTCTCTAATGATAATTTTTTATTTGTGTGGGGTTCAAATAACAATGGACAATTGGGACTACCCAAAGCACATTTTTCTGAACTTCAGAAACCATTTAGGTTACAAGTAAATGCATGTTCTATGTCGATGGGTTTGAGGCACACTGCTATTATTAATTCTAAAGGTGAAGTATGGGTCACAGGATGTGGAAAACATGGACAACTAGGTCTTGGAAAGGAGATTTTACTTTCAGATAGATTTCAAAAAGTTCCTAATATTGGTAAGATATCTCATATTGCATGTGGGCAAAATCATACAGTTGCTTGGTCAACCAAAGAAAATGCTTTATATGTATGGGGTGATAATAAACATGGCCAGTTATTACAGCGTTGCAGTACAAAACTTTGGCTAAGAAATGTTTATGAACCTCAAAAAATTTACATAGGCATAAAAAAGAAAGTCAGAAAGTTGTTAAGTGGATGGACAAACATACTGATATTACTTGAAAATAGTACAATTCTTACATGGGGTCGTAATAATTATTCCCAGCTTGGTACTGATGAACCATTTACAGGAAAATTAATTACTATAAACCTCCCCGGTACGTAAAACACTAATTGCTTCTTCTTTTTAATAATGTCTATGTCTATTTACCTCATAAATAATGTAAATTTATAAGTTGTCAGCCTTTTGAGAACTTATTTTTACCACCCTTCATGTTTTATTTAATACAGAAGATATTCTTAGTAGATAAAAACTATTAAACTAAATATTTTGAGTAATTCAAAAAGTTTAATACCAAAAACTCAATAATTTCAGATAATAGAGAAGTAAAAGATGTAGCGATGGGTTCAGAGCACACAATATGCTTGGCTGAAGACAATACTTTATGGGCATGGGGTTGGAATGAGCATGCCAATACAGGCATTTCACTTGATCCAATCATACATTGTCCAACTTTAGTGCCCTTTGAGTGTGATGGAAATATAATACAAATTTATGCAGGGGGCGCACATAATTTTATAGTAACCCAAGAAAAAAATAATGAAGAATAACTTTTATCTTAATTTAAATTAGCAATAAGAGTACTTCATGATATGATTTTTATAAACAATCTAATTTGATTTATATTTGTATAGATGTATGAAGAGAATATATATAAAATGTATTTTACTGTTGTAATTTTTAGAAAAAAAAATTACCAAAAAGGTACAGGTCACTTGAAACAGCTGTTTAAAAGCTTAATAATCATTAAATAAAAGCTCAAATGTGATAAATGTATTTATTAGTTACCAATTCAGAAACAAGGGATACATATTATATTTTTTAATGTCATACCATTAGCATTAGATATAGCAAGTTATACTAAATGTATACAGAGCCATATCTAAATTATATTAGCAGTTACCATTTATTCTGGAACTCAAAAGAAACCTATTTATTATTAATTGGCAGTTGGTTGCAACAAAATATAATTTTGCTCTATATTTATGAAAGCTATTCTTTCTTCATAGGCCAAAACTTTTTGTCGTCTAAAAGTTTTTAAAGTCTCAAAATAACACTGGTATATTATGACTAAATATGCTTAGTCAGGACATTAAATTTCTAATATGAGATGTTTTATTAAAAAAATATAAGCTAGCATGAAAATACACAATTTTCTTTCTTGGCATCTTGTTATATGCTATTTACTCCCTTTTAGTATTTAATAAACTGTATGCATAACATTTATGACAAAAAAACAATACATTTTTCAACAAACCATAAAATTATTAAGTAAGCTCATAATAAAATTATCAATTTATGACACTTATAGGAAAACTATCTTAAAAAGATTACATACTGACTGCAATAAAATGTGCCTTTAAATTAACCTAGACTATGTTAGCTTCTCAATTTTCAACAAATGAAATATAAGTAAAACAAACTGCAATGTGCATGCACAATACAATGAGACTAATTAAAAAAATATTATTTATAATCTATATGACATTTTTTTAACATTTAGATGTGCGTGATATGAGAAGTAAATACTAATTAAAAGTTATTTAAATACAGATTTGCAAATTAGAAAGTAATTTTTCAGTTGTTAGATACATTTTCTACCTTGAGTGCTCATTATTTTTTCAATGAAATAAAGTTTTATATATTACTTCCTTTTTTCCTCAGTAATTGTAAATTCATCATAAAAAATAAAACTGACAGTTTTATGAAGTTTTAAATGACTATGCAAACATTGATAAAAAATTTGTTGAATTTATTTTTATACTTTTTAATGTAAAAAGACTTTTTTTAATAAATTGTTAAAAACCTATCACATTCAGTTTAGCCACTAATGTGTAATTCTTTTTTAAATATTGTTGATTGTGCATCAGATAACACATTGTCTCTTTCTTTATCTGTGCACAGAGAAAAGTAAAACATGAACATTTTAAACATTGAATTCTACAATTCTTCTTTGTATAAAACTTAATATAGCTTTACATAACCATAATTGTCTCTCCATGATGATTTCCACATCAAACAAGGATACAATATTAAAAATCATAATTGAAGTTTGTGTTATCTAGGATATTTTAACAACATTTCATACAATAATAATGAGCAGCATAGCTCTTTATTTTGCATGTTTTGAAGGCTACCTCTTCCTTTCACCTTTTTGTGTCTTACGCTTTTCCTTCTTTTCTTCTTTAAGCTGTTTCTGTTTTTCCCTGCAAAGATTAATAACACTTGTTTTTATATCAGTATTTTATTGAAAAATAATTATTAAAAATGCAACCAGTTATGCAATTCCCACCTGTCTTCTCTATCTTTTTCCTTTTTACGCTGAGCCTCAAGTCTGGCTTGCTCCCTTCTTTCTTTAGCAGCAGCAGCAACATCCAGGGCATTTGTGTTCTTCACCAAATCGGAGCTTTCCGGTTCTTCAGCATTGCACTGATCTTCCTGAAACAGGGCAATATAACAAATAACACACGGAAGTGAAGAATGTATTTCCTGCATCATTAGTATATTATTTTAGTTACCTCATTATCTGAAAGTTGACTATATTGAGATAAAATTGCTTCCCGTATTTTTTTCTCCTCATCAGTATATTCTCGCCGTGTAGTGGTTGCAAGTGACTGTGACTCTAACAGCTTCGCTAATTGGATGTCTACATCAGCCACAGGTTTCAACACTTCTTTGGGCTTACATGACTCCCATTTCTCTATTATTTCATTAATATGTTCTGATATATCACTTTCCTGTTAAATTTTCGAAGAAATTAAGGAAATTTAAATATCTGTGCATGTTCTAACCGCTATTTTAACTTACCAAAATTTCGGAAAGTATACCCTCCAGAGCATCTTTCTTTTCGTCGACAGAATCTTCGCTTTCTAATATACCAGATATATAGTTTCCGAAAACTCCTTCATCAGTTTTCAATGATTTTAACTTTGCACTTAACCACGGCTCAAATTCACTCACTGAAGCCGCCATATTGTCTATTTTCTATTTGACAGTTCTATTCTATGATTATTTTGGAATATTATTTCCAATTTTATTCGAAATCGTCATTTTGCTAAAATTTTTCTCATTGTTAATTTGTTTCGTAAGCGAACAATTTTTTTTTGTACTTTAGCTAGGGAACCTAATTGACTTTGGTTTATATTGCTTTTAAAGGTCGCACGACAAGCAGGCCTTGGTTTATTAATATCCAGTTCCATCTCATCTTATCTTAAGGGATTTTGAGAAGATTGGGATGATCATAATGCATTTTTAATTTATTTTTTGAAACATGTTAACAAGCCTTCTATCTGTTTTACGGTGCTATACTCTATGTGATTCAAAGTTTGACAGAAATGAATCGGCATCATTTCTGTTTCTGATTTGTCAATTTAATGCTTACCGTGATCCTTTGAGTATAATTCAATTCTCCACAAATAATTTTAAAATTGTTTATAACTAAAATTTCAACATGTCTGCAAGATATGATAGGGCCATCACCGTATTTTCGCCAGACGGTCATTTATTACAAGTAGAATATGCGCAAGAAGCTGTGCGAAAAGGATCAACAGCGGTAAGTTCTGCTACACAAGGTGGTGACTTGCCTTTTTGTTATGTGCCTAAACATAAATCTATTTCAGGTAGGTGTTCGTGGTAACGATGTCGTTGTTTTAGGAGTTGAAAAGAAATCTGTAGCCAAACTTCAAGAAGAAAGAACTGTTCGTAAGATTTGTTTGCTTGACGAACATGTAGTGATGGCCTTTGCCGGTTTGACTGCCGACGCTCGTATTCTTATAAATAGAGCTCAAATCGAATGTCAATCTCATAAGCTTACTGTTGAAGATCCTGTCACATTAGAATATATTACGAGATATATTGCTGGTCTCAAACAAAAGTACACTCAAAGCAATGGACGTAGACCTTTTGGTATTTCGTGCCTTATTGGTGGTTTTGATTATGACGGCCAACCTCATTTATTCCAAACTGAACCATCTGGAATCTATTATGAATGGAAAGCTAATGCCACTGGGAGAGCTGCAAAGACTGTAAGAGAGTTTTTGGAAAAAAATTACAATGCAGAGGAAGTTGCTACGGAAAAAGGTGCAGTGAAGGTATGTTAAGTTTCCAGTAGACATTGTTGTAGACTTGTGTAATTCATCATTCTATTATGTCTCATTCATTAATTGCATAGCATTTCTATTAAATTCTGTTAAAATAGTTAGCAACATACTTTATTGTATTTAAACTTTTAATATTTAATCAATATTTGATTTAAACCTTTTATTGTAGCTGGCTATCAGAGCTCTTCTTGAAGTTGTACAATCAGGACAAAAGAACCTAGAGATTGCAGTAATGAGACGTAACCAGTTAATGCAGATGCTAGACATCGATACTATCAACTCATATGTCTCAGTGATTGAAAAAGAAAAGGAAGAGGAAGCAGAAAAGAAAAAACAGAAAAAGTAGTAATAACACGGTATTTTTATGTTTTCACAAATAAAGAAATTTATGGCTGAATTACATAGTTTTAATCTATACAAACTCTTTCTTTTTAAATTAAATATGTAAACACAAAGTATTTTAATTTTTATTGAGTTTGCAGAATCAAACAGCACTATTAAGCTTTTTTTCTGTTAAAGAAACAATGCTATGTGGTACTGCCAAGTATAAAACATACATCAATATTTTATAAATGGATAGTTTGTGAAATTTGAGTATATAATTCCTTTAAATTGGAGGAAGATTCTGGTGCTGAACTCTTGTTAATGATTATATCATTAAACATTTGATCCCATTCACTATGATAGTGTGTCATGTTTTCATCATGCCTCTGTAATAATTAAAAAAAGCTTGATCTTTGGTTTTTCTTTTAATCCGACTAATCGTAGGTTCTGAGACCAAAATCCCCGAAAATATTGTTACTGTGTTGGCAAAGATAATGAAATATTTTTATAGAGATTTCAGTCTTAGAAACCAATGGGTTATTTCTTAACACCAAAACAACACTTACCTCACTCATAGTGACATCATCATTTTGATCATTACTAATAGAAGGAAGCACGCAATTTAAGAATTGGTGATCAATTGGTTTTGATACCATTTTTGTTGCAATATCATGTCTATTCTCATCTCCTATATTAAATTCAGCTAAAAGCTCAACTCCAGAACTTTCAGATGGTACAGGATCAAGGTCCGGCATGTTTAGAAATTGCCCAGGGAAATTATCAACATTCTGTTGACATGAATCATCACTGAAACCCATCAACGTATCTTGTGACTTATCTCTGTAAAATTTCATTTGTAAATTAAACAAAACTTATTTAAGATATAATATATAAGAAACAATGAAAGAAAGCTGTAGGGTAATTTGCTGAATAGCAAATTTTTCAACTACCCTCATTACTGGTATGAGTGTTGAATAAATAACATGCAAATAAATTTATAACTTACCCAAAGTTCTGGAATCCATCACCAGTATGAATGTAATTATTTTCCTGAGGTTTTTCTGCTGATAGGACTAAAGGATGAGATGGAATAGTTTTTTAGGAATTTTGTATAGGAAAAAAGATAATAGGTAAATTAGTATAGTAGGATGGGAATTAGGATATAAACCTGGTAAACTTTGTTCTTTCTGCATATCATTGTTTTCACTATTAGGTATAAGCCAGTCCCCAGAGATGCTATCATCATCACCAAAATCATCTTGTACATCTACAAAACACCAAGTTATTTATGATATTAGGATAAGTATTTGTATTATCTTACCAAGAAATTGAAACACAAAACAGCCAACTAATAGAGTAAAGATTTTCTCATCAACCTGTATCATTTTGTCTGTTGCATAGGCCTAAAAAGGCTTATTAGTTTTGGTGATAATAGTAAATTTAAATAGAAATAATTATTATTACCTTCGAATTCATTTGTGACATTAAACTGTTTTGGTGAGCTTTGCATGAATAGCTCTTGTGCAGCTTTCTTCAGCGCAATTCTGAGTGCCCTTCGCGCTTTTTGAAGAGGAGTTATGAATGCACTTTGCTCAGTACAATTAAAAATGTTCTAGCAGGGACAGAAGAAATATTAGTGTTGATTTGAAGATTTAACAATTTTACTTGTTACCACAGTTATATTACCTTAGGTTTTGAGTTTCGTTTTAATGTCAGTGCTTTTCTTGTAATTTTATTTAATAATTCAGGTCTGCCATATTGAAAGAAGTCATGAATATATTCATGCATGTAAGGATTACTTGAATTACAAAGTGGATCTTGTAGATGCGAAGTAACCTTCCGAAAACCATACAAGTTAAGTTGTCTTACAAAACTTGAAATATTCGTTGTTTTAAAAATAGAGTTATCACATTGCAGATAACTGTGAAGTATTCTATAATTAAGGAGAATTGTTCTTCCACTACCCCCCCACAATATTGCATCAGTGCGCATATTTAGCAGGTACCACAATTTATGAGGAAAGCGCATTTGAAAAATAGCATTTTTATCTTCTTGCATAATTAATTACAATTATGAATTTTACAAATCTTTTAAAAATGGCGCCTTCCTACAACATCACACCAAGCAAACAACCTATGGTCTATCTATGGTTTTTCTTGTTTTTGGTTTCTATTTTTTTGTTTTACTTTTTGAGCTTACATTAAGGAATGAAAAGGATAAAAAGTATTTCTGTGAACTGGATGCTATTTTTAAAAGAAAGAATAAAATTAAATCTATAAATTGCATGCACTCCGATACAGGGAAAGGCTGCAACTGTGACATATTTTCTGTTTCCTGAATTTTCTCCATTTTGACGTGGAAGGTAGCGGTTGATGGCGGTGGTGAGAATTTGAACTAACAATAGGCATAGAATTAGCCGTCAGTAACATTAACAGGCGTTTAAGTCGGAACGAAACAAAACAAAAGCTATCATTTCCAAGCAGTTACATGTCCATTTCTTTGAAGGTCACTGATAAATTGTAACGGAAAAAAATTATACTGCCATCTTGACATTGACAGCCGACAGTAACTGAACTGACTGACAAGTGACATTGTCACAATTATTTTTTGTGTATTAGAATTACTGTATTTTGTTGAATCCGTCCGTTTCTTTGTTCTTCCAGTTTGTTGTATTTAGATATTTGTGCCCTAGATTTTGGAAAGTAATGAATAATATAAAAATAATATTTTTGACTTGTTTGGATAGTGTTATTAAATTGTTATCCTCTGTTATAGACCCTCTTTTATCTTTAGATTAATTAAATTTTTAAATAATACACAATGAATAAAGCAAGGTATGGTTTTATAGTGATTTTACATAATCTAGATCTAGAGATAGCAACAATCGCGGAAGTATACTGAGTTGTGTAGTTAGGCAAGTCTAGTTATTACAAAATATAATTTATTTATCTAAGTTTCCAATGCAAGATAATAGGCCGGGTCTTTCTGTTAAAATGTTAGTTTGAATGACCCGATTTGGTCACACTTATTTAAGTGGATAGGGAAATTACATACATTTGAAATTTCTTTCCTTTACAGAACAGGACAGTTTTGCCATTATTATATTCTGCCACCCTTTTTTATGTCATGATATTGGTATATATTGACTATTTTTCTGAGTCACTGTTAGTAATTTTTTTAATAAATTGTTACAGATTTTCTATGTTGGTGCTAGAGCCCGGTGAGATTTACTTTGAAGATTTCTCATGTATAATGAACACACAAAATTCTAAAACAGTAGGTAAAATAAGAACCGGTCATCTAAAACTTTGTTCCAAATCACTTGTATTTGAACCAATAGAATGGACTCATCCTCTTACAAAATTACACTTTAAAGATTGTACAGATATCAGCATTGTGGAGCAAAAGAAAGAAAGTGAAACAAAAAATGTAATCAAAGTAACAATCAAACAGTATTCGGAAATGTTAGAAGAAAATATAATAGCACCTTATAGATTTAAATATGAAAAACAAGATTTCTATTTCTTCTTTGATTTTGCATCAGCGGAGGAATGTTTGAGTCAAATGCAACAACTACAGAGAGCTTCTACATTACATGCACCTGAACATAACAGTATGGTGGCTACTATATTACATTCTCGCTATATGCGGATGTTATTTGACCCTGTTATGATGGATGACTTCACTGAAGAGATCTTATGCGAAATGCAAGCTGAAAAAATATCACCACTTGTGAGACATCAAGGAAAATTAGCACTGACTCCCACAACTTTATATTTCCAGCCTTTTAGTAATATTGAAAGTGTAAGAATATTTATTTCACTTTGTTTCTTACTGCCTGTATTTATCCTATTTACAAACTGGGATAAGTGTGAGTCTATTACTAATAAACAACCTTAAAAAGTGAGAAACTCAGGTTAGAGAGAAACCTCTTTAAGAGAAAAAAATATTTCAGTCCCTTAGACTCTTACTTATCCATATTCAACTGGATTTAATTCAATAGCAAAGAGTATAAGTCACAAGATTTATTTATGAAATTTTTTTACAGAGTCCAATATTTAAGTTAAAGTTGGATGAGATGAGGAAAATGTACAAAAGAAGATTTTTATTAAGGCAAGTTGTATGTATCACATTACTTTATGTTATTTTTATGTAGTTGTCCTCCTTTTTGTAATATTACAATTTCAATTTTTAACAGTCACACATCTTTTCTTGTGTTGTAGTAAAAAATTGTATATAAATTGTGCCTATAGTTATTTAAGAGCGTCGGTGGCTCAGTGGTCAAGCACTTGACTTGCAATCTGCAGGTCCTGGGTTTGAATCCCTCTATGTACCAATGTGTTTTTCGTACATTTATTCAACGTTCTTACGGTGAAGGAAAATATCGTGATGCAACCTGCACATATCTGAGAAGAAATTCAAAGATATGTGTTAAGTCAACCAACCCGCACTTGGGCAGTATGGTTGACTATGGCCTAATCACCCTTAACTTGAGAGTAGGCTCCGAGCTCCTCGGTGGGGGCGTATAGTTAGCTGATGATGATGATGATTATTTAAATTTTACTGTCTGATATTTTTAGTGTTGCATAATCTTTTATCTACTGGGCTTAGCTTACTGTGTGTTTTCTGTTTGAATGTAGATTTGTATTATATTTTGTTTTTGCAGTGTGTTGTGATATATTTAACTGTGCATTTAAAAAGACATCAACATATAATTTTTATATAGAATGAGTATATGATTATTATATGTTTTTGTATTTATCAACTAACCTTAATTGTATTTGAATTGATTAATAATTAATATCAATTATGTTGCTACGGCTTCTGTATAAGTGTTTAATGTTGCCAGATTAAAAATATTTAGGTCACTGGATTTTAATTTGTTTTTTGGTTCTAGGGTCTTGAAATATATGGTGAGGAAGAAAGATCTACGTCTCATATATATCTTACCTTTCCATCGGAGAAGCATAGAGATAGAATATATGAAACTCTAGAACAATCTCCAAATGTCAAATTAGAACGACAACATGTTGAAGAGATGACATTACAGTGGCAAAATGGCATTGTCTCTAATTATGATTATTTGATGTATCTTAACTGGTGGGTACTATATTTATTTACATACTATGCTTTGAACAAAATTAAAAAATAATAAATTAAAAAAAAAATACATATCTATTAAGGAATAAAAAGCATCAACAACATTATTTAGAGTTTCTGAGACCGAAACCTCTGTACAAAATATATCGTCATCTTGTTTGTCTTGGACAAAACAGATATATGTTATATCTGTTTTAAATGGAGATTCAGAAACTGACGCTAAGTCTTACATCTCTTTGTAAAAACTTTGAGGCGATAAAATTCCTTAAAATTGTTTTCATAGCGATTAAGAAACATACAAACTTTATTCTGTGAACATAGAGTTATTCTAAATATTGCTTTAGTCTTGCAGATCGAAGTAAAAATGATCTAACACAGTATCCAGTGTTTCCTTGGGTTGTGGCAGATTATACTTCAGAGAAATTGGATTTGAGCAATGCTGATACTTACCGCGACTTGTCCAAACCAATGGGTGCATTGAATCCTGAACGTTTGGACAAACTAAAGGAGAGATACAATGAAATGAATGAACCGAAGTTTTTATATGGATCTCATTATTCCGCGCCCGGACTTGTGTTGTTTTATCTTGTAAGTAAATTTATTCCTAGAATTTTTTAAATGTATTAGTAATTAGTATTCCCTTAATTTTTTAAAAGGAAACCCATGGTTAATATTAGTTATTATTGTACAACTAGCTGTCGCACGTGACTCTGTTTGTGCTTTGCCTATGTGTTCTGCCAGACTTCAATTTTCAGCAAGATCTGTTTAACTTCTGGAGATACCTAATAATAGACATCCATCCATACATTTGCATTCATAATATTATTAATAAATAACATTAATGAAATTCAAAGATATGTGTGAACTCAACCAACCCGCACTTGGCGAGCGTGATTGACTGTGGCCTTGTCACCCCCGACTTTGGGTAGATCCGAGCCCCTCAGTGGGAACGTGTAGTGAGCTGATGATGATGATGAACATTAATTGTACGTTATTGTATTACAGGTTAGAAAATATCCTAGGTACATGTTGTGTCTTCAAAACGGCAAATTCGACCATCCAGATAGAATGTTTAATTCAGTGAAAGATGTTTACAATAACTGTTTAAGAAATATGTCTGATTTTAAGGTATGAAATACTTCAACATATCTAAATTTAAAAAAAATGGTATTATGGTCACGTTTGTTATATGTTTATTATTAGCTAACGCTCTCAACTTCGTAGGCGCGGAAAAAATAACTTAATAAGCCTATGTGTTCTTCCAGTCTATGTTCTACATCAATGACAAATTACAGCGAGATCCATTCAGTTCTGGAAATATGTTCTAACAAATTTACTTATTTAAACATTCGCATTTATGATATTAGAAATATATAGCAAAAGTATTTTTTTTTGTAGGAATTAGTACCAGAATTCTATGATACAAGTGATAAAGGTGATTTTTTAATAAACAAATATGAGATAGACTTTGGAGAACGTTACGACGGGTCTGTAGTACGAGATGTGACGTTACCGCAGTGGGCAGACTCGCCTCAACACTTTGTCTCCATACTACGCGAAGCTCTCGAGTCGGATTATGTATCAGCACATTTACATTTATGGATCGATCTCATATTTGGATATAAGCAAAGGGGGGAAGAAGCTGTGAAGGCTAATAATGGTACTTATTTTTTTTAATTATCAAAACACTACAGTCCCATTAATTTTTTCATTGAACATTTCTTATATGTTATTTTCTTAAGGATTCTAGATTTTCAAAGAAAAATTTTCGTAAATGTGTTACGCTATTTTATCAACAGATGGCGCTTTAACAAAAATATTTTCAACTGGCAGTCGACCGCGACTCCGTCCGATTGTATTAAAAAAAGCTTTATTAGTAGCCTATGCCTTTTACAAGACTATGTTCTACATCCAAGCCAAATTTCAGCAAGATCAATGCAGCCGTTTTGATACCTTCAAACAAATATCCATCCATACATACATTCACGAAAGTTTGAATAATTTAATGCTAGTAAGAAAAAAAT